ACTACAGAAAGATACATCCACGGACAGGGTACAGGGGGCTTTGATTATTTTTGGCAAATCAATAATAAACAACCAAATGCATACCCTGCGTTACTGATTTAGTGACCGTTGCAAATTGAGATCTGAGTTTAATCACGTTTCCACTGACTAGGTTACGGTGTTCTATCTCTACACACTTCTTTCGACTGGTCAGGTTTGACTCAAACCAGTAGTATGTTTCGCCAAGTGAATGTATGTACTCGTACCTATGTCAATTCGATTCCATTCAATTTAATTTATTAAGTTGTTATTATTATATATTATTATTATTATATATTAAATATAATCGAAAATCAAAAAGTTTGACCCTATCTCAAATTACAGTTTTTAATCCTTGTCAATCAAATGCCAATCCGTCCAAATTCACAAGTTCGCAAACAAAATTTCACTTTTTGGCTTGCACTGCGTAAACTACAATAGATAGTAGGTACTATAAATTAATTAATCAAATGGACTTCTTAATCTTAAATAAGTCCGTGATACACTATCTAGTTATCTACCTATCAAATATAAGCTCAATATCAAATCTATATCAACCAGCTTAATATTTCTTTGAAAATATAAAAATCTAGATTTGGACGCATTTTATAATGCATTTCTATATTATAACAAATATTTCATCCAGTTAATACTTAGTCTGTAAATCATAAATATTGAAAATTTCGATTATATAACACCATTGAATGAAAATAAGTTGCGCAACAATATCGCTAGTGTTTTACACAACTCGTTACTAAATGGCCCTGTGCACATTATTTTTCACAAATTTTTCAGATAGTATGTAAAAAATTAAGAGTTCGTTTGAACTTTCTCTTAAGAAATCCAAATTTGTTTCTATTTGTTCTTGTTGCGTTGACAGTAATAGATAGAACTAAAAATCTAATATTATTTTTATCATCATTCATCATTACAGCCCTTCACAAGTCCACTGCTAAACACAGGCCTCCCCCAAGGAATGCTACAAAACACGGTCCTGAGCCACCTGCATCCATACATTTCCTGCATGTCTTACCAGGTCGTCACTCTATCTAGTGGGGGGACGCCCTACACTTCGCCTGCCGGTACGAGGCCACTCGAGAACCTTTTTTCCCCATCGGTTATCGATTCTTCGAGCTATGTGGCTGGCCCGTTGCGACTTCAGCTTAATAATCCGTTAAGCTATGTCGGTCACTCTGGTTCTACTGCGGGTATGCTCATTCCTATTCGTAAGTTTATCACGCAGAGAAACTCCTCCAGAGAGATAGCCCTCTCCATAGCTCGCTGAGCGACCTTGAGCTTCTTCATACGGCAAGAATTTTTATATGAAATTTTATTTGCAAAAAAAGGTCACAACTTTATCGGGAGAGAACAAGGGCCAAGGGACTGAGCACGCATTTCTATTATATCAAAGCCAAGCAACCTACCGTTTAGTTTTAATTTAATTTTTATTTAAGATTACAATTTCCATTATGAGGAGTATTTTCAAAATAATAACTCACAGAGTCAAACGTACGTAGCTAGCTACATAGCTTGCTCACGTGTTTGTTGTGCTCAAAATCTGAAGGTATTCCTTTTAATTTAGTCTATAGAAGTGTATTATAAGCAATATGCAAAGCTTTGTTAAAATTATTCCAATAATAAAAAAATTCGTCGGCTAGTCATTATAAGCTTGTTTTTTTTTATAAAAGAAGACGAATGAAACTTATTCTATTCGAAAGGTACTATGCCATAGATGTGCACAAATAAGTAATTTATGTGTGTTTGTTGTGGTTAAAGCAGATAAAATAAAGTACACACACATGATCCTTCCATATTAAATGCTTTATTATTGTCATCATCATTATAGCTTATGACAAGTCTACTACTAAAATAAACCTACCCCTAGAAATGCCACAAAGTATGGTCCTGAGCCAGCTATATCCATAGACTTTTATGTATTACCAGGTGGTGACTTTGTCTAGCGGGCCACCGCCCTAAACTACCCTTACATATTTGATGCTCCTGCTTGAGAACCTTTCTTCCCCATCGGTTAAATACACTAAAACCATGTTGATGAAAGTATTCCGATCACGTTCATAGATATTTATGAGCTAAGATCCCTTTGTCTTTCCTGCAATGAAAAATATGCTCTAAAAAAATATATTTACAAAAAAGAAAGTTATGTAATGTGCAAAGTAGAAACAAATACTTGGCGTTGTTTCCACACTATTTATCGAATGACTACAGGCAGTGCTAATGTTTAATTATACGATGCATTCGAGTATAATACAAATATCTCTTAAATAACTTAACTTTTGAATAAATTCATGCCAGGTGGCGCATTTAAAGAAAGGCTTATGTAAAACGTAGTTATGATATATTATTTCTTTTTTTTCTTTTTTTTTTGTTGACGTACTGATGTATGAAAGAAATGTCTTAACAATATATTTCAAAAGCCTGCAACTGCCTTTCCCTTTCTCTAACCTATGAATAATAAAAGGAAGCCTGTGTTTTGCATTAGCGCGATAATAGCAGTAGTAGGCGTCGTAGGCAGTTAATTGATTTTACTGTATGAAAATTGAGTGCAATTTTAATTGCATAACTCTTTATAATTTAAAATTTATATCTTTAGACGCTAGTGTTCATCCGCTTACAGGATCAGAACGAGTACGAAACCACAAGTATAAGGGAGGCAGGTACAGCACATACTTTAAGTTTTATAAGTTTTGCTACTATTGTCACATATAGTCATTGCTTTACTACTATCAATCGCTTTGCATGTATTTTGGACGAGTGTAACGAGAATAAATTTCTTTGCAACCTCGAAAATTGCACGTTCTGTTTTATTGTTTGCAGTCTGTTAAACAAAAAAGAATAGCAAAATAACCTAACCACACTACTAAAATACAATCCAAAAGAGAATTTTAGGATTTCACCCGCATGCTAACATTTTCTAAAATTTTGTTATTCATATTCAATAAACTTGTAGCAGCTAACGAACGTACGTTGTAGCCCGCAGACGAGAGATTGAATGCTGTTACGAGAGCCAATCAAATCTTATTGTTTGTTTGATATAACAACATCGATGCAGTGCATTGATGTAATATGTACTTACGTACTAAAACAGCTATTTCAAACAAAAAATGTGCGCTACTCTGTGATCGCGCGGTTGTTTTTTTTTATCATAGAATAAACATAGGTAGAATGATCCGTAGGTAATAGTAGATTGTATCGTTAAATAGGTAAAATATCGAGAACAATATTTAAATTTTGTCATTTATTTTGTATATTATATTTGCTTATTTATATATTATTATATCATAATTACATTTTAATGATATTTTTATCTGATTATTTTAAAAGGTATCTATGTCATATATAGAAAAACGTACTAAATATATGTTTAACAAAACTTATTAACATAACATTTAAATTACAAATATATTTATTTAAATTAGATTAAGAGTCGTTCATAAATGCTGGGCACGCGACATTTAAAAATTGACGAATTTATTCCACTTTGATTTTGATGTGGAAAGCTAAAAATAAAATAAAAGAATAATAAGCAGATTTAAATATGAAAAATTAATTAATCTATATATTTTTCTACAAAAATGTGTATATTAATACATTCATCTTATACTTAAGTACCCACGGAAATGTCGCATCTGAACTTATTAATTTCATAATCTGTATTCCATGACGAGATGGCGTCTTAGGAAAAATTAGCTTTATTATTAAACTAAAATACTTTTTGTTGATTAAGTGTCTTTTTAACCGATGAAAAGTAATTCCTTGCTTTTTACTGACATTTCTTGAATTATTTGTGCAATATCTAAGTACACACGACGGCATAATTTTATCAAGAGATTTTTTTAAATCAACACAACACGTGACAACTTTAGAAGTGCCTAGCGAGGTAGCGAGTGACTGATTAAAGTGCGGAGTATGCACCGCAGTTGAGTGGAACAGATTAGCTGAATTCAGTGTCGCTTCTAGTACGTAGTACATAATAGCTCAATGATGCAGTGCAAAATCTGCCTATACCCTATCTAATGTAACATATCAAAGTACCTAGTTGGGATATTACATTGACTAAAACACTAAGCTAAGCATTTAGCGGCTTTGGTCATTTTGATTTAATAAATTTATTTGTCAATTACTTAGACATTATTTTTCTTTTTTCTTAATTCATATCTAGAATATATTTTTTATGTAGAAAACTTCAGTCAATTTGCCACCTTTAGACCCTATATATCCTAAGTTCTCTTACGAATAATAATGTGTATTTTAGAAAAAACCCTGAATTATAATGAAACTAATGTGTGATATATTATCTATCGTTTCAAAGCCATTACAAAAATATAATTGTGACCGCATTTGTATTTAAGCACCATCTGTATTTTAGTCACTGCCAGCTCTAAAGAATTTTATAGAGTTTCAAAGTCGGAGTAACGTTTTGAACAAGTCATGCTTTCTAGTACTTACAACAGCTGTAATACAACAGATCCAATTTATTTATACTGGACGAGGATTCATGTCTTATAAAGTCATCATGTCTTATAAATCCACGAGCATTGTTGATAAAACTAGCTTCTGCTCGAGACTTCGCATACAATATAACTTATGTACCTATTTTTATGTGCCATGCCCATGCTACAGCAATATTAAGGTTGAAACACGAATTGATCGGTCTTAAGCCTAGCGTGAAATAACGGATTATTACTGTGTTTCATATTATGGTGAGTATAGAGAATCGGAGACTTTTTACATGAAACGAAACATTCCATCTTAGTCTTCAGAGGTGAAAACGCATCTGCATTTGATTCTTAATCGAGAATATTCAACCCATTGTAGTACCATAATAGATTTAAAACAAATAAAACAAACAAAGAAGATCAAAATGTAAACATTTTTATTTCTTTAAATAAGTCACCGTCTGTCTCGTAGATAGAAAACTTGTTAAAATAAAAGCCCAGCTTACTGATCCCTTGGGCTTGAATTTACAAGTTTTCTTGGATGAAGCTTAGGAAGGAAGTAACCCTAGCGTAGGCAGCTGGTTGATTTCTCTCGCAACCCCGAGCAGAACCGAAGGAAGTGATACCAATCTGTAAATCGAAAATAATGTCCAAATTATCTAAAAAATATTTGTGAAAGCCTATCTTTTCCTAGGGAACTGTAGGTTGTACTCACTAAGCCATAATAGTTAAGTTATCCTAAATATTTTATTGTTTATTTTTTATAGTTAATCAATAAACACTTCGCGTTAAGGATATGTTTCCTTGAAGTTCTTGGATCGCAAAAGGAGATCGCTTTACCGCAGATCAGAATATTCGCCATTCTTTTTCCCATACGCTTCTTTCTTGTAACATATTCTTTATTTGGTTTTCGTTCTTGTTCTTGTGCTCTTGAATAAAAATGATCTTAATTAGATATTCTTCGTGATAAAATCTTCTTATTTCCGTTTTTCATAAACGTCTACGACAATCACAAGTCTTAAAAGTAATGTCGCCGTCTGATATAAGGTGAAGCTCCAAAAAATATGTTCCTAGTCCAAATAATAAAGTTTTCTATGAAATTCTTTATATTTTCGGGGATGCAAATACTGCTATCGCTACCTACGACTGAGTATATACCACTGTTTTTTTATAATGTTGATAAATTTGTGTAACTTTATCATAGTAAAAATATCTCGTCAGAGAAAATAAGATTTTTACATAAGTAAAACAAATTTTTGTACGTTATGACAGGTAAAGCCTTATCTGTCTCTCTATATATAAATCAACTGATGACCGTCAGTTTCGCTAAAACACGAAAACGGCTTGAACGATTTTGATGAATTTTTCTGTGAGCATTTTTGTGGATCGCTGGTGCTGTTGTCGAGATCGAGAAATCACCAATGCGAAGTCGGGGCGAATCGCTAGTAGAAGATATTTACAAAAACTGTTATACTAAGTTAATTACAAACACATTGACAAGGTTATAATTACCAAGATTGGCCTGTTGTTTCTGATGACAGTTAGAGGACCACCGGAGTCACCCTGGCAAGTTCCGACGCCACCTGATCCAGAAGTGCAAATGTTGGAGGATTGAAGAATAAATGGGTACGAAAACAGGCATACGGTGTTCGTGATCACATTCAAGTTCACGTAACTTAGGAACTGGTTGGACGATATTTGGCCACCTGAAAATGTTTTAATTATGATTAGATTTTACATTGTCAGAACGTCAAATAGCAGTCAAATATTCATTAAATATTAGTATTAAATATATGTCAAATGTAACAAAACAATTCGCAACAAAGGATTTCTGAAATATATATTTGATTGACTGATGAAGAGCTATCCTATCGCAAAGCCATCTATGCAAACAAGGCTATAGCTTATATAAAAACAGTGACAAGCAGGCCTGGGTCTCTTAAAATATTTATTTTAAGGCAGTTTAATCTCCTTGACTGCTCAGACCTACACATAAGAGTTTGTCGGGATATTTTTCATATTTGCGCATAGGGATTTTGTTGTTTTTCCCACCACAGTTCCTGTTCAGTATTTGAAAAGTTTTAATCCACCTGTAATAACTTCAAGACATGTTTGCTAAAGCCGCCATCGTTTGTTCTACCGACGCCATACGTCCCTGGATCTCTTCCACTGCAGCGTCCAATTGCGGGACCGTCCTGTGACGTACCTACTACGTAACGACGCATGCGTCTTGTTACCAAAACAAGCTGCCGTCATATTTTGACTTACACTTTTTTATATTTTCAGTGTAAGATTCATTGTGTTTTTTTAATTTGTTTTAAGTTATTCTCTTTTTTTGTGATTGTATTTAACTATTGTGAATGCAGTTCCGTGACCCAATCTAGTAATGGCACAGCGCACGCGTTCCTTATATGTACACAGTGCAACAAGTCATTTAAATCTTTAAAAGGCCTCAACATACACACTACAAAAACACACGGACCCCCCCCCCCCAACAAGCTTTCGGCTGACCTGAACTGCCTCCTGGCGGCTCAGGCCGAGCCTACATAACACATCCCTTAATCTGCCTTAGTTAGGCACTCGTCTAAGCGGCATTTCGCCGCTTGTGCCCTCCTTTCTGTCAAGGAGGGTCGCGTTCGTATACGGCTTAGAGATCTCTAGTTAGACCGTTAATCCAGTCCCTAAAAGGTGGGATTTAGTGGGTAAAAGTCTCCACATAACCGCGCAGCCGGCTGCTTGGCATGCTATGAGCAGTCTCCACCTCCTCCCTCCCGCGCTTTCCGGAGGGTTGCCCATATTTGCTTCGGGCGCAAAAAAAAAAAGAGTCAAGATACAACCCCAGGTTTTTAACCTTGTTACTGTAGATGTGCAGTCTAGTATAATAGGGGGTAGGGAAGACCAGTCAATTTTACCAATTAATCTAACCCGATGACAATGACCTGAGTTTTCTTAGGATTAATCGTTAAACCATAACATTTACTCCAATTCGAAATACAAGTCAGATCAGCGTTAATAGTGTCAACTGCTTTAGATAGATCTTCGAGAGAGGACTGAGTATAGATTTGGAGATCGTCAGCATACAAATGGTAGGAAGAGGACAAATTATGACTTATAGAGTTAATGACAATTGCAAAAAGGAGATGAGACAACACGCCACCTTGTGGTACACGCAGCTGTAGTAGTACAGGTGAAAAAAACCTCTTGCACCTGAATTTGCTGTCGGCAACCAAACAAGTAACTTCGAAAGCAGTCAACTACAGTTGGAGATATGTTGAGAGAGCGTAGGATGCTTAACAAGATATCAAAATCTACAGTATTAAATACGTTGCTAAAATCAAGCAAAGTGAGAATGGCAAGCTTTTGTTTCTCCATACAATACCGAATATCATCAGTGATTTGTAAAAGTGCAGTAGTCGTACTATGGCCAGGACGGAAACCGAATTGCAAGGGATTTAAAAGATTGTGTTTTAAAAGATAGGTGCTTAATTGATTGTGCACAAGACTTTCTAGAACTTTGAAAAAGAAAGGCAAAATAGAGATAGGTCTATAATCAGAAAAACTAGAGGGATTTGACTTTTTCGGAAGAGGAACTACAAATGCGTCTTTCCAAGCTGAAGGGAAAAAGCAGATATTCTGTGATGAATTATTCATACGGATAGACGTGATTATAGGTAAAAGGAGATCAATGAGAGGGATGACCATTTTCCGACTAATGCAGTCACTACCAATCGAATTTGAATGGATGGACATTATGGCTCTCTTAATAATACAACTGTTAAATTGGCTAAAATTAAAAGCAGAGGTGTCCGGAGTGGGAGCTTTTGAAAGAGAATCCAGAGTATTATGTTTTGCTTTATCGTTAATGCATGACGAAGCTGAGAAATGCAAATTAAGTTGATTGAGATCAAAGTTATGGTGTGTGAGATTTTTCGTAATTTCCCAACTCCTAAGGACTTAAGATATTTCCAGAACCTAGCAGAGTCAGAATCTTGTACTGATTCATGTATATGGCGTCGTTGTGCTTTTCTACACAGATTGTTGCAACGATTCCGTACTAATCTATACTTCTCTCTATTCAAATCGCTAGGAACTGACTTGTATTTAGCTTTGGCACAATTTTTAATGTGGATGATTTCATATTTCATATCATCGATCAGCCAAGGAGAGGGAGGATGCTTTACACGCACTGAACGAACAGGAGCATGAACGTCGTAAAGCTGAATTAACATAGAGTTGAACGAAGCACCCTGTTCATCAACAGTAGACGCATTGACGACTACACTCCAATCAATCTTTACAGCGTCATTTAAAAGCTGCTCCAAATCCAAGTCACTAAAGTTACGCTGAAGTGTAGTAGTATCCTTGACTTAGCTTTAGGGGGACGGATTTTGTATGACAAGTATAAAAGGTCGTGATAGGAAAAAGAATCAGCAGCATGTTGCCCAAATTTAAGAACATGGTCAGGTAAAGACACAAACATTATGTCGAGATGAGAAGGGGCACAGTTCGGGGAAAAAGTGTGTGGCAGAAGTAGGAAGAAGTTTTAAATTTGCTGCTTCAATAATAGATTTAAGTTTTATTGATCTAGCGTTGTTTTTTTAAAAGACAAGTATTAAAATCACCCATAATAATACTGTGACAATAGATAGGTGTGAGATTGTCAAGAATATTTTCTAACGTGGTATAGTAGTCGAGAGTGAGAGAGGGACTGTAAAAGACTCCGAGAAGTAATTTTGTATGACCAAGAAGAACTTCGATTAAGAGAAATTCAGCTTCGCTTCCACTCTGCGAACCATTTGAAACTTGAATTACTGAAAAACGTATATGAGAGCGCAGATAAATAGCAACACCACCACCGGTCCGATCGGTACGGTCATTTCGAATCAAATGAAAACCTGGAAGCGAGTAGGATGTTGATGGAAGACATGGTTTTAACCACGACTCCGAAACAAGGATAGCGTGTATGTTTGTGCTATTAAAACTTGACAACATGTCGGGGTAATGAGCAGGAATACTTTAAGCATTTATGTGAATAGCGTTAAAGTTTATGCTAAATTCAGAAAAAATTTAATCTAACATAATATTTAAGGGTGCAATGCTTTCAAAGCTGTCAATACTGCTTAATCCATCAGAGACAGAATCAAAGGCGAATGAATTAGAACTCCGAACACTATCATCTGAAGAAATCATATTAAATTATATCTGATTACTAAATATATGTAAAACTAAGTAAATATGTATTATTATACGTATGTATTATAATATGTATAATTATAAAATAAATAATTCAAAAATAAATAAGTCATCAGTAAACTACCTGCCAGCATTATGGAAAGAAATGTTTAATTAACTTAACAATAAGTGAAGAAACGAATTATGTCAGATGAGTCAAAGTGTCAAAGTTACAGTACGTTAACTAGCAATTATCTGCTAGGGATGATCGATGTTGCAGAAACATCGCCTTGCAGAAACAAGCCTTTTTAAGGAAATAGCATAAAGGTTAATCGACGTCACAGGAGACCGAAGAGCTGGCAGCTATCTCGGACAAAGAATTAGTCTAGCTATTCAACGGGGAAACGCTGCCAGTATCTTCGGAACTTTGCCTAAAGGACCTCCTTTTTAATAATATATTTTAGTTATTATAATATATATGTTAGCGACGACAAAGTGAATTCGAACATTTAATCTTAATTATTCCTTATCAGTGATTTAAAACTAAGTGATAGTATTTAATCTTAATTGTTTCCTATTCGTAAAATAAAGCTAAGTGTAAAGACTGATTAGTGCTGAAAACAGGAAAGTAAATTAAACACTTCTATTCTTATCTTAAAGTAACTTATATGAATCTATTTAATATTATTTAGGTCTGATTAGAACATTAGACGCAAGTATAAGCTTATTTTCTAGTAAGATTTCTTTTATCATAACTTTAAGAGCTATTAACATATAGGTGATTAAAGTAATTCAAAAGAAACATTAATATGTCAATTAATCACTATATAATGTTATTTCATTATGAGAAAGATTTAAATTTCATGAAAAAATATTGTATAGATTCTTAAGCATTATTCCTGAAAAAGTGTTGTACATTCCTACCTCTTGGCGGCGCTACTTGTATGTTCGGCAAAAAAATACTATCCTACTCCGGAGCTAAACCGTGAAGCGACCGCGAAGCTATTTTTATTTTTTATAAGTGTAAAATAAAGGTTTATTGAATGATTTAGGTTTAGAATAATAGAAATAAGTTGTATCTATCGTTAGGAATAAATATAAATGTTGTAAGGTATGTTTTACCACGTTTATTAAGGAAATTGTAAATCTCTCTTAGTTATTCTGTGCTCTGATTGGTCAATAGATTCACTAATGCCGTGTGCGATTTTTTCTTAATTATGATTGGTTACAGCCGCTTATAAAAAAAGGGGCGTTTTTTTCGTGGTAAAATATTCCAAATCCGGCAATGTAATAATAAGGAATCAAGAAATAAAATAAGAAGAAACTCTCAAGAAGTGTTATTTATTGCTCATCTAACTGCTACTGTATGCTCTCCAGTTAACATCCCGCCAGCAAACCCGCTCTATTTTGTCAACGCTCCCTTATACGAGCAATTACAATATATTTTTAAGGTTTTTAGTATTAGAATTAGAATTTAGAATGTTGTTTGTTTTGAGTATATTGATAATAATAAATATAATTAATAACTAATTTATATGTGTAAACTCTATTAATTTATTCAATTTCAAAAATGATTTATTCAATTTTATACAATATGTAACAAAAACCCTGTGGTTCCCGTTAAGTATTAGGCATATAGAAATATTTTGTTTTTCAAAAAAAAACACACTTAAAGAATTAATTTTAGGTAAAAAATTATTTGCAAATTGTATGTGGTTATTATCTCTGCATTGGCAGAGGAGTAAGAGGATTTTCAAAGACCCGGCATTACCGATACTCGTGTGAATTAGACGGATTAAAACCACACACACATTTACAAATATTTTCTTTTAAATTAAATTTAAAAAAAAGTTATGGTCGAATTTTTCTGAAAAAATAATTTCTGTACGCTTGAATACTGATTAAATAACGTAGTTAACGGGAATCACACGGTTTTTGTTACACGTTGTATAAGTAGAATAAAATGTCAAATAATTTTTAAACTTGGTAACAATTTCACGAGTATAAAAAGAAACCCTACAACTTTTCTGCTCCTTATACTTTCGCATTCGTCTCATTCTCTCGAAGTTTAGTTTCCTGAAGGTTTCACTCCTACCGCGCGTGACTGCACACATGTTTTTTTAGCCAAAACGTAGTTAATCATGTAGGTATTGTTCTAATTTAACTGTAAAATAGTATGTTTCTAATAAAATTTATACCACTTTTGGCATTTCATGAACGACGAGTATCAAATAGACTATCTTTATAATGTCTGTTTCGTATATACCAGTAAAATACCAGTGGCTAAATACAAGAACATCTGTAACACCAATGTAAATATTGGTGTCTTGACGGTTTTCTGAAAAGTATAGGAGGCTCTTGTCGTAAAGGTCTTTTATTTAGTATCTGCACGGAGCAACCGCTCGCGACAACAAACTCACTCCATTATAATATATTTATGTTTGATGTAAATAAAAGTAAATTATCACTTACCATCTGTAGTAAGACCGAAACCAGAGGCAGTAGCAGTTGAACCCGCGAAGTTCTCATTTACTTCCGAACCGGATGGCAGAGCGATTACTGCAATTGTATCTGTAAATAAACATATAATTGAAATAAGAATTGTACACAATGAAACCGTAGGTAAGTAAACTCCAGGTGTCAGTGCTCGCTTAATCATTTTAAAATACTCGAGCAAACCGTGTTCTATCCCCGCCAGTACTATCCAAATTATTTATTTTATGATGATATACTTGCTGTGATAATTTTAAAAAAATCTTGGAAAGCGGAAGTTATACACGCATAGGCTAGCGAAAAATTCGACCTGATAAAGTTGGCCATCAAAGAGAATTAAAATATGTGACTAACTTCGCTCGTTTTACTTCACAATTTATATCATCATGATATATTTTAAATAGTTTTAAAATCAGCCAGGATCATCCCGCTACGATAGGAAGGAACCTTTGCAATTACGACTGACTTCCACAACGTAATCATGACGGTAACCTGATTCTGTAGAAAGGGTCGAAGAAATCGTTAACAGTTCCAGGAATAATTTTATTAAAATTTAGTATGCACGTTGTGATTGGTGATAAAATCATAATAAAAACCTGATTCTAAAACCCGGATAATCGCTTTATGGCGACATTCATAAACTGGTATCGTTTTGAATTTGTTATATTATACGTTGAGATGGCGATTTTATATTTAAGCCTAAACCCGTGCCCAGCAATAGGACAAACATTTAATGTTGGAATATTACACTATTTTAACTTTTTAAAATTAAAATAAATATATATTAATAAAATGATTGAAAAACTCACTTGATAAAGGAGCATTTTCAGGTAAGTAGATGACGGCAACATCATTACGGATCGTAGATGGATTCCAATTGTTGTGCATGACAACTTGCGTAGATTGTAGGCGGGTACCACCGCTGAAAAGCGTTATTGACCCAAGGACGACTGTAAACCTCCACGCTTGGTTACGTCCATCAAACCAGCAGTGAGCCGCAGTAAGCACTCTCGACGCGGAGATTAAGGAACCGCCACACACACCGTTACCAGATAAACCCACAACATCCGAGATGAGGCCAGCCTACACAAAACATTTTACCTCTTCATACATGATTTCTTTTATGAGTAAAAATATTGCCAATAACATAAGAAGCAGGTTACCTTTAATCTTATTACGTTAAGATTTTCTATTAGATAGTTCAGTCACATATTCATTAAAAGCCAGTTTGTAAACAATTTTTCAATTTATAGAGCGGTGATAGAATATCCACTACCCTATTTTATAACGTAGTTGTCGTAAGAGGTGACGGAGGGAAACCGAACCGGGATATGGGCATCAGTCTTCCTGATAAAAGCTTATTAAAAAAATGTGGTTTTCAAACCGCTTGCCAAACGTGGTAACTATAGAAAGTTACTACTACTATGAGTATTCTACTGGTGGTGACCTGTTTAGATTTATTTGCTCACTAAATGTACACAATACTAATAATAATAATAATATCATCTCCGGTTGTTCGGCGCTTCCTAACTCTCAGTACTTGCACAGGCACAACCTAGTAGCCAGAATTCTACACCAGGAGCTCGCTCTGAAATACGTTGGGATCCGTATTACAAGTACTTACCGGAAGCCGTGCTCAAAAATGACCGCGCTAGGCTCTATTGGGACCGGGCCATCATCACAGACAGGACTATTCTTGCGAATAAGCCTGATATTGTGCTGATGGACCGGGCACAGTCAAGGATATTTTTGGTCGACATTACCATTCCGTATGACGAGAACCTCGTGAAAGCCGAAACAGATAAACGAACGAAATATCTGGACCTGGCTCACGAGGTGACCGATATGTGGGGTGGTCTGCCGGCCGAAATTATTCCTGTAGTCGTCTCTGCGAATGGGCTAATCCCAGTCAGCCTCTCGGGTCATCTGAGGCGACTGGGACTCCGTGACGGACCGCTCCGGGCTCAAATGCAAAAGGCGGTGCTCCTCGATACCGCCCGCATCGTCCGCCGGTTTCTTTCCCTTTCCTCCTAACCCTCGGCCGTTTGGTCTCCACTGCCGAGGGCTTCCATCTGGTTGGGCTTTTATTTATTTATGTATTTTGGTATTTATTTTATTTTATTTATATTTATGTATATTTATCGTTTCATTTTAATTTATAATTATATATTTATATAACCCAACCAGATGAGAAAACTATATAGATACCCCAAATAATAATAATAATAATGTCCTCCAGACCGAATTTCGGTCACGGCGGACTGCCTCAACGGAGGCTAGCCATCGGTACAGGACAGGATTATAGTGTCTATGCGCAAGCACAGGTGCACTCTCTATTCCCTCACTCTCATAATCCGATGGGACGGTAAACTGACACGACCGGTGAGAGATCAGGCGTAGAACCAACGGCTTTACGTGCTTTCCGAGGCACTTCCTAATTTCGGGCAGCTACTGAGAATTTCTTGACAGAAAAACTCAATAATTGATTTTTTTGGCCCGACTCGGGATTCGAACCCAGGACCTCATGATCAGCAGTCGCACTACTACAACCACTAGACCAACGAGGCAGTCAACTAACACAATACTACTAATACTAACTAAACTTTTACGGGCGTTGCAGTAAAATATTTTAATTTATCTTCACTAATTTCATATGTCATCATATTATTGTTAAAATAAAGTTATTTACCATAAAATATATATAATAAGATACAATATATTCAATATAAATTAAAAAAATTGAGTCAAATTCCCAGAATAACATATTAAAAAAACTTATATGTCTATTCATTATTTAAACATTTGTCTATTATAAAATCATTTTTCTACTGAAATAGACAGTCGTATATAAATACTAATCATGTTTTATAAATAAAGAAATCATGACGCTTACCTGCCACGGGAATTGTCCCAGACTGGCTGCTGAACCACCAACAATCCTTATATGGCCATTCTGGTATTCTTCTTCGGCTTTCCTTATTCTTTCTGCTAAAGGAATGCCGTAGTTCTTTATGTACCCATAAGCAGTATTGTACTCTGGTATTTCTGGCTGGAAGGACCTTGTGTTAGCAAGGGCAAAAATACCAACAAGAACCAGAAGTAGCTTCATTATGAAATTTTGAGAAATCTGCTCGTCCGCTGACTTGAAATGGTATTATATATAGTGGTACTTAATACGCCAAAGGATAAATCTATAGATTAAAGTATTAATATGATATAATTTAAGGAAGATAAGGTAAAGTCATTCATCAAAGCTTAAAAGATTGAAAAGCGGATATTTAAGTATATGTAGGTATTTTATTTGGGAAATCTATGTATACCTATTTCATTTTAGTTGACCTGTTATCTAGCTGGAATGCTTCGAGTCTCTCATAACCAAGTTCGTCATTCCGCTAAGCTAAACAAAGTTTGTGAAGATAAACTGCACAGCATTCAACTTCGAGTGAGATCAAATATTATTTTAAGAAATTGCATGAAATGTTAATCTTTTGATTTTTAATAAATTTAATCTTTTGAGTCTAAAAACAATACTTTTTTCTTAAAGAATCTTAAAGTCTATGAAAGAATCTATAAAAATTAACCATCTAGCGGCGATGGAGAAATATTCTCTAGCCCACATCGTCCTGTGGTTGTCGTAAAGGTGACAGGGGGAACTTGAAACATGAGGTGGAAAGCAGCATCTTCCTGATATCTCTTCTGTTTCGTCTTCCATAGTGTAACTACTTCAGAGGCGTGGAGTAGAAGTGAGGTGGCCTTGTTCTTCAAAAAGTAAAGTCTACCACACCTTATTGATGAACTACAGAACAATGTCCCTTCCATAACGCATCTACAGGGAAATGGAAAAGGCTTTTTGTTTTTTTTGAAATGCTACTACTCTTGAAAATTTTCAGAAGAATCGAAAAGTACAAACTGCCACTTAATCTTGCGTGTATGGAAAAGCTTTTTATTCCGTCGGTATTTGGGCAGTGCAACAATTACTTCAGTAGTGCCAAATTGACTTTCGGTAAACCGAAGTGCTAGTATTTTCTTTTTTATTTTTAAATAAAAGTTACCTCCACACTGGGATTATTTTCGTGTATCGTAGAGGCAGTTTACATAAATAAATTTCACAGGGACAAATATCCAGACCCAAAACAAATAATTGTAGACATTACAAATACTTGTTGCATGCAAGATTCGAACCCGTGGCCTTTCGTCATTGCTGTGAAGTGAAGCCGTAAATTTATTAGAGCTACGATGGTTTTCCGAGTACAGAAACGGAGTACGAAACTTACTCGTGTACAACCTACAGCAACCTGTGAGACAGAATCCCCGACACTTTACCGTTATGGAAGAAGTATTGAAGCTACTGGACTGGAAAGTATATCCTCCACTTTTGGTTTCCCGACGATATCATCATTATGGCATACCCCGACGATATCTCTGGAGAACTCAGCACTATACTCACTGACTTTAATTAAGTCCCAACGGATAAGTTTTAAGAGGAAGATGGACATGTCAAAAGTTTCGTGTCACATCTATGGCAGTAATTATTAGGAGTAATACGCTTAAAATTGTTCGCAAATATGCTTAGAACCTAGAACAAATTATTCTCGACTAGATAAGTTCAACTTCTATTGAGTGGTCAATTCGGAAGATTAGAAATGACGAGACATTTTCTTGTCACACACGACTCAAAAATTGAAAACATGGGTGTACAAACAGTCCGTGTCGCCAGTGGTGACATAAAGATTTAAGACGTGGTTCTTCAGTATTTCTGGCAGCTCGATATCGCTCAGCGAGCTATGTAGAAGGCTCTGCTCAGAGAATATACTTTATACTGTATAGACGAGGATTTACTATATATGTTATAAGAATAATAATTACAGTACAAAATTGATATGAGTAGTTTATGTAGAATTATTTCTTACGAGCTTATCGTTTCACCATCGCCCCTGTAGGTTTTAAATTTAGGAACATAATCAATGTTTAGGACCAAAATTAGCAAATTGAATCACTTATTACTATATCCCCATGTCTCTCTGTCACTGGAATTTCACAGAGATTATTTGACATTTGCCATAGTTATAATTATTATCATCATCATCATCATTACAGCCTTTCACAAGTCTACTGCTGATCATAGGCCTCCCCCAAGGTATGCCACAAAGCACGGTCCTGAGCCACCTGCATCCATCGGCTTCCTGCATGTCTTACCGGGTCTTCACTCAATCTAGTGGGGGTTGCCCTACAGTTCGCATACCGGTCCGAGGCTGCCATTCGAGAACTTTTTTCCCCATCGGTTGTCGGTTCTTCGAGTTATATGGCCGGCACATTGCCACTTCAGCTTACTAATCCATTGGGCTATGTCGGTCACTCTAGTTTCACTGCGGATATACTCATTTCTAAGTTTATCACGCAGAGAAACTCCGAGCATAGTCCTCTTCATAGCTCGCTGAGCGACTTTGAGCGTCCTCATACGGCAGCAGTGAAGGACCACGTCTCAGTTCCACAGGTCATCACTAGCAACACGCACTGGTTGTACAGTCTCGTTTTCAGGTTTTGAGATATGAATGATGAATGCTGATGAGAAAATGTGTCGTAATTTCCCGAACGCCGCCCAGCCGAGTTGAATCCGTCGATTGACCTTTCGGTCGAAGTTGGACTTACCTAGTCAGACTATTTGTCCCAGTAAACGTACTCGTCAACAACTTCATGCTTAGTGCTCCCAACAACTACCGGCATAAGTGTGTCATGGACGTTATACGTGATCTTTGTTTTGTCCATGTTCATCTTAAAACCTATCTGTTGGGAGGTACTATTGAGGTCATTGAGCATAGTGCTTAGGTCCTCCAGCGATTCTGCCGTAAGGACTATATAATCGGCTAATCGGAGGTGAGTGTCGAACTCACTATTGATGTTAATACCGTATCCTTTCCAGTCCAGTAGCTTGAAAACCGTCTTCCAATGCAGCGGTGAAGAGTTTCGGGGATATAACGTCATCCGTATCCCTACTGTACAAACACTTCAGCACTTCGATATGCTGACAGTCAACTTGACACCGCTGAAGAGACTGTAGCACCACCCAAATTTCAACTGAGTCAAAGGCTTTTTCATAGTCCACATATGCCAGGCAAAGTAGCAGATTGTACTCTTCGGACTTCTGTACAATTTGCCGAAGGGTATGTCTGTGGTCTATGGTGCTGAAGCCTTTTCGGAAAGCAGCTTGTTCAGGAGACTGAAAGTCTTTGAGCCTGCGTGCGATACGACTCGTAATGACTCTCGAAAACAGCACATAGACGCAACTCAGAAGGGATATCGGTCTTATAGTTCTTCAAGAATGCGTTGTCACTTTTCTTGAAGAACAAGCCACCGCACTTCTGCTCCATGCCTTGGGAGTAGTGTCACCATGGAGGACGGAATTAATGAACTTCTGAAAGACTTCAAGTACTAGTTTTCCACCCGCTTTTAGGAGCTCCGCTGTAATTCGCCTGAGGCCTTGCCGTCTTAAAGTGCTAGAGACTCAGACTGACGGTTGACGGACGGTTGAACGGTTGACGGACTGTTCGGAATATCATCGGAATAGTGTTGGATAAGACTTGCTCTTTGATCGTTACTCACACTTGCGTGTTGCTCCAATAATGACGTGTACAGCTGCCCATAGATACTCTCAATATCACTCAAAATCTCAGGTGGCAGTTGGCTCTTTCTGACAAACAGATCAGAGAAACAGATCTGGCAAAGGCTTTGGAGCCTCGGTTCCACTCAATTGATTCTTCAATACGAGCTGTAATGAAGTTGCGTAAGTCCCGTACATGTATTTGGTAATTTGTATTGATTAATCCGAACAATTGCTCGGAGCACTCCCCATGGTATATGCGAAAGAAAATGCAAAGGGATGCATCATCTCTTCGCAGTGCCAGTGAATCGAGCCGATCGGAAAGCACTCGGTCGTCGACGATTCGAGCCGCTCTGCGCTGGATGCGATCAAGTGGAAGGAGCTGGTACTGGGAGGCCCCAGGCCAGAGATGGGAACAGTATTCCATGTGCGGCCGAACCTGAGCCTTGTAAAGTTGCAGGCGGTGTGACGGCATGAAATATTGTCCCTTTGCTGAGCACGCCAAGCTTTTTAGAGGCCAATTTGGCCTTCTCTTCCAAGTGACCACGAAACTGCACGTCACTCGATATGTCGACGCCGAGGATTCCGATACTGGCTGAGGCAACAAGGGGAGTGCCTTGAAACTGAGGAGATACGACAAAGGAGTTCTTTTTAGCGGTTAACGCGCATACTTGTGTCTTCTGGGGGTTAAACTGGAATAGATTTAGTCGCCCCCAATCCGAGACTCTGTTCAGCAAAAACTCGACTTCAGGCACAAGTTTGTCCCGGTACTCGGAGAAGTTTTCCCTAATATTGGCACGGCCGATGTAAAGAACATCACTAGTGCCGTCATCTGCGTAGCAATCAATGTTACGGGTTTGCAGCATATTATTGATATTGTGACGGCCCAATATTATTATTAATAATTAAATTCAATATAAAGGGGCGTCAAAAATAGTATTAAAATATATATATTAAGCAATTAAGTTAAATGAATAAACATAAAGTTAATATATTTCAGACATTATCCCAATAACATAGTAAATTAAAGGCAAAATTATCGTTTTTCGTAATAAATAAATTTATTTAAAAACTTGAAAAAAAATATTTAAAACAAGAAATAATAGAAATACAAGTCAAAAAATATTATAAAATTAAGTTAAATAACGTTTATAAGATAATTAGAAAATTTGTTAAAAATTGTTTAAGTCATGGGAAGTGTTCATGTATAAAAGAAAATTTTCCTAAGTTGTGGAAGGAGTTCACGTATAAAGGAAAATTTTCCTAAGTTATTGAAGGTGTTCATGTATAGATGTCTTGTATGGAGGAGCTGCCGGAGATACATTCCTGCAGTTGTACATATATATGGGGTGGTCGGGAGCCCGACTGCCTGAAGTACTGTAGCACAATGACTAGTCCTATATTGGGGACTTATGATATTAAACTCACACGATACAAAAGCAATACTATAGAAGGTCTCAATGATGAATTTGCATTACAATAGTAGGGTCGTGGGTTAGAACCCTATATATTAATGACTTATGAAAGTAAGGTCTATGATACAAAAGCAATACTATAGAAGGTCTCTATGATTAATATGCATTATACAATAGTAGGGTCGTGGGTTCGAACCCTATATACAATGACTTATGTAAGGTCTATGATACAAAAGCAATACTATAGAAGGTCTCTATGATAAATATGCATTACAATAGTAGGGTTGTGGGTTCGAACCCTATATATGAATGACTTATGAAAGTAAGGTCTAAGATACAAAAGCAATATTATAGAAGGCTCCTTGATGCATAAGCATTGTATGGGGTGGTCGGGTGACCGACTGCTCCTAGTACTGTAGCAAAATGACTAGTCCTTATTAGGGACTTGAAAAGGAATATTATGGTGGCGTGTATGCTGCTTCACGAGCAATTGGTCCGAGGTAAACTTGGACTCGCTAACCGATGTGTCCTAGACATATCATCTTAGTGCTGGTGGTAAGCGGGTTTGTTGTAGCAATACGGTTTTCCCGTGGACATCGCACACCCATACCGTTTGTTCGTAGTAGCGCATAGCGATGCGTCGTCTATATTTCGGATTGGGATGATGAGTGTGTTTGGTAGCACTTTTAAGTGTAACAGGCATACTCAACTTCATGTCTTAGTGCATTAGCGCTATGATACATGGAGTTCTGTTCATTGGCGTCTTAGTAGCGTGCTACTATGATACGTTGGTGATATTTTTTATATAACAACAATACAAACTTTGTTACCAAAGTCGATAAGGATCATGTGGGTGTGTTGTGAGGGGGCGCCACCCGTATGATAGTTGCATTGATGCTTACTGCTACTTGCGGTATTGCGTCTTGTGATGGATCTGCGGGTGTGCTGCGCCTGATTCGACGCATTCTTGTGGTTCTGGTCGATGGAGGTATGCAGGTGGTGGTGTCTGCTGGGATGTATGGGGAACCTTGGGATGGTGTAAGCCCGACGATAGTCGTATTGATGCTTGTTGCGTTCTGCAGCGTTGCGTCTTTGCGATGGTTGTTTGGTGGGACGCTATTCTCAATGGCGCTCTCTGCGTCTTGGTTTGACTCACGCCTGAGTAGCTTTGCCCAAGTCGGGTCCCTACATTACGTGGCTGCAGACTGTCTGCCCTCCACGATGTTTTATATAACAACATAATATTATATCTCTGTAACTTTCCCACCTTTGAATGATTGAAGGCAACTTGTTGGTGGGTGATCAAAGTGATCAAACATGATCGAAAATGCATTTACTCAACGTCAGTGACACAAACCCTTTCTGATGGCGAATTATTACTCTTATCTTATAACTGCCTTTTGGCTATATCTGCCGTTGTATTGGTTGGTGGAACATATGTGTCGACTTCATGAGGGTGGTAGCTGGCGGGAGGATCTGAGGAGACTCTAAAGGCTGCGGCCGAAAGCCGCACAACGTGGGACCCTATTCCCTTGAGGTGAGCGGTAGACTCATGACACGCTCTGCGGCTAGTCGCCGTGCTGATCATGCAATTGGTGGTGATGCCATACACTTACATCACGTCTGCAGGAGCGGCGGTCTGGCAGGTGGTGGCGCTCACGGAGGGTTTACGGCCAGTGTGCCTATTTGCCTAAACCGTGTGACGTACATTCACTGTGGCTGGATTCGTTCGTATTCTGTATGGCGATTACACGCATTGACATGCGCGACTTCGGTCGATGTTTGTGCTTACGCACTAACAAGGCGCCAAGCCTCTTTTACTGGTTCGCCAGTTATTTTGCTGTGGACTACGGTCCAGTTCCCGAATTAGCGTTCCCTTCGGGGGGAGTGCATCAAAATGGTTGGCACTCACCGTGCACGGCGTGTGTGGGGCCGTGTGCCTCCCCTACATTTTTTAATAAATGTAGGAGAGCGAAGCCCTTGTATCGGGTGTTTTGTATAAATGTATTTTGAGCCTTTTCCGAGCGGGAAGGGATAAATAATATTAAGTTAATAATGTAAACCTGATACAAGTGGAATTGGGACGTTTTATGTTCTTAACCTTTCTCGAGCCCTGTCTTCGTGAACGGGGTTCACTTAGCTTATAAGGCACTACCAACAGCTTTCAATTGCTCTAGCGAATATTCATTCTTCCAAAAGACACCTAAAAGAACTAAGTTACTAAACAAACACAACGTAAATAAGGGTCCTAACTAAGACGATCACGCCAAAATATTACAAACGGCCTATTATTAAACCTTTAGAAAGATCATTTAGAAAGACCAAAACATATTTTATTTATCCTAGTCACATATATATAATTTTTAATATAAAGGGGAATTTAATTATATTCAATATCATACATATTTTTATACATGGAGAGGGGGGACCGTTACAATATTCAGAAGAAACAGCGTTGGCGATAGCAATAATTGGCTTGTAATCGGAGCTTGCACCGTCTACAACGACTTTGATGCTCCGATCTGCAAGAAAGCTGGTGATCCAATTGCACAATTTCTCGGGAAGCCCATAGAAAGGAGCTTCGAAGGAAGCGCTTCGTGCCAAACCCGTTCGAAGGCCTTCGCAATGTCCAAACTAACGGCCAATGCCTCCCCCTTGGACTCTACTTCCTCCGCCCATCTGTGAGTTAGGTAGACCAGAAGATCACCAGCTGATTGACCACGGCGAAAACCGTATTGGCGATCACTAATCAGCTGGTGATTCTCAAGGTACCATTGCCACTTCCGCTTAATAATGCATTGAGCTATGTCGGTAATTCTCGTTCTTTTGCGGATATTCTTATTTTGAATCTATTACGAAGTGAAACCCGAAGCCTTGTGAAGAACTGCGTTATTTACTTTTTATTAATTACATTTATTTAAAATTACACGATTTTTCTACAGATTTATTAAAACATTTTTAAATTATACACAAACTAGAATGAAAATAGCTTTTACAGATTTTCATGTTGCCTATTATTTTACTAATTTTTACTCGAATGCCCCAGATGGAGTAATATTCGATTGTGTATACGTATGTATGTTATAAATATATGTTATTATGTTACAGTATGAGAATGTACGTCCTTTTCTTGGGCAAGCTCTGTTGCCTAAACAAATAGATGGATTTTAACATATGTGGTGTTCATCTATCGAACTTCAAAGTCCTTGAAGTATTTATTTTATTTACCGACTTAATACAACGCTTCTCAGAAAGTATCACTCTATGCTGCAAAAATTAAATAAAAGCCGTGAGTAAAACTTCTTATTTATTAAATGTATATTATTTTTAAATATTTTGTTTTATGAAGTCCAGGTATGAAGTAACTCTCGCGAAGGCAGAGGGGTATCCAATATCGCATCCAAAACTGATACCAAAGGAAGTCACGCCAATCTGGAGAAAATAAAGTTTCGTTAGTATATTATTATATTGGTATACTTATGGCGTTAATTTTCATTCATTTGTATAATATATACCGTACTAATAATATATACTATATATATATATATATACATATATATATATATATATATATATATATGCATATATAATTAGTATGTGACGAAAAAATTCGAATCGTACACAATGTATAAAATTGTGTAAACTACTGAATCGCAGTGCAAACGACGAAAAACAACTAGTCTGATATTGAAACCTCTTTAAAAATCGGTTTGAGATATTGTACCACGTCAGGGTGAATGGAATAAATAGTATTTTTTGTTGTTAGGACCCCTTTCGGCTTAGAAATCTATCTAGATAGGTACCTAGAGAGAGTAACCTTTTTGTTTCTACTATTACTGGAAATCGGTCAGAAAAAAACGGATTTGACAGCACCGTGGTACAGTGGCTTAGCAATGAGTTGCAATCGCCAAGGGCCGCCAGTTCAAATGTCACACGGAACAGGCTTGTACGGCATACAAATAGAGTCTGAAATCATTCAGACTCTGAATATCCTTCTCTGTCCTTGTGAAATAAATTGCCCCCACGATCAGGACAAAATCCTAGTGTGGAGGTAACGTTATTAAAAATAAAGAAATCATCATCAATATAACAACAACAAAAAAACCGTGACTCTGTGAATTACTCTTTATTAACTAGCTTTTAACGGATATAGATGTCAAGAAATTACCTTTTTGATTGCGCGGAATAAAATAGAAAAAAAATCGCATAGAATATTTTTTATTTCCAAAAATAATTCAATTTTTAAAGAAAAAAGAAAGTCTATTTTTATTTACTACCGATTCGGAAAATACCTCTGTCCTGGCAAGAACCAGCAAAAAAACCAGTGGTATTATTTTATATACATGAAATTTTAAAGTAAATTTTTCAGACATAAGATGAGTTTAAGTGTTAGAAATAAGAAAGTAAGATGACACAACTTCCGATAAAGAGCTTTCCAACTACCTTGTACACCACAGCTAAAAATTAGCCAGGGCCGTGACGGTAGGAAGTGTCAAGTGCAAGACGTATTGCAATAGTCTAAGAGCCCACACGCACTATGCGATTACCCGCGTAGTGCGAATGAGCCCTAACACAGACAGAGGTTCACGTCCAGCGGTGATTCGTACTTTATGGGTCATAAAAAGGTATAAATAGATTTAGTAACTATTAAATTGAATAACATAGAATATACATACCACAATCTGTCTGCCATTATTGGTAACAACTAGCGGACCACCGGAGTCTCCTCCACAAACTCCAACACTACCAATGCCGCTAGTACAAATATGGGAATCTTGGATAATCCCGGGAAAAGCAACACCGCAAACGCTATTTGTAATCACGTTCAAGCTCACGTGACTCAGGAACTGATTCGAGGAGATTCCAGCGTCTGCGAAAAATTCAATTTGTTTGTACTTTTCATTGATAGGAAATACTGATATACTATACTCGTACACTCTAATAGGTGAAGTATAAATGGATTTAATTAATATTGGTAAAAAAGTAACGTCATAACAAATTACCTGAACTTGTAGCACCGAATCCAGAAGCAATGGCCCGCATTCCAGCAAAAGACTCACTGGCTTCGGCTTCCGTCGGCAGTGCAATAGGAGCAATATTAGCTGTGAATAAAAAATAAATAATTATAATATATATATATATATATACTTTAGACAATAATTACTAATATATTTAAGCGAAAATTAAAAAAAAACAACATTTTCATACATTTCTTCATATATTTTCAATGGGTGAAAAGTATCCGAATTTTGGATATTTTTACTTTATTTGTTCGTATTACATCAAAAATATTAAAAAAATTGTCCGTTCGAAAATAATAATTCCTTGCAATTGAAAAAAAAATCGTTAACGGTTTAAACAATACGGTACCGAGTTGTTCCATTGGAAGATACATTTATATCATCACTAGGACAATTTGAAAAGAATCGCATAAAAATTGGGGCAGAATAGTTTTCGGTACTCATGCGCCGATTCCTCCTGGACTAGTTAAGCCTTTCATTTTATCTACGATAAACTGAATGTACTCGATCTTTAATGTTTATTTTAAATAATTAATCTTCCCATATAACACAGAGTTTTCAAGATGATAGCAAAAAAAAACAAATTCAAACTGCTATTTTGATAATTAATTAATTACTTACTTGTCTAATAACCACTATTATCTATAATAGTTCTATAGAACTGCAGTTTTTTTTTTGTTCAATTATATGCGGACGAAGCCGTCAAAAGCTTGTTTAAATTATTTTAGTAATACGAATTACAAATTCATTAATAAACAAAGATTAATGTGTTATTATCTAACGAAATAATTACTAACCCGATGTAGATACTGAGCTGGGGAGATATATAATCGCTACATCGTTCCTGATTAGCCATGGGAACCAGTTGGGATGCATAATTACTGCGCTAGTCTCAAGCCTTGTTCCACCAGAGAACAGCAATACAGATCCCAGGACAACAGTGAACCTCCATGCTTGATTTTGTCCGTCGTACCAACAGTGAGCTGCCGTCAACACTCTGTTGTTAGAGATGAGTGTGCCACCGCATACTCCTCTACCAGTAATGCCGATAATATCAGATATAAGACCAGCCTAAAAGAAAACTTTTTTTTACATTATACAAATTTTAAAGAACACATACAATCCTATGTTTATCTGATAATAAACCACTTCAACTAAGCTTAAAATGCTTGTGCTCAAGTGGTTCACGATAGTAGTCAAAAGTAGGTAAATTCAAACCCACTATTGAAACTCACTCACAAAATAATTCAATACTCCATTTTCAATATTTTTTTAATATTTAGTCGTATATACGTACTAACCATTCTTCGGTATTTAATATCGCTTACCTGATACGGGTACTGTCCAAGAGCAGCTGGAAGACCACCAACAATTCTTGACTGGCCACTCAGGAATGCTTCCTCTGCCTTCTTAATTCTCTCCCCTTCAGGGACACCGATGTTCTTCAGGTATCCATAGGCGGTAAGATTTTCGGGTGCTATTGGCCCAACAGACTTACCGTAGGCGATGGCAGTGAGAGCCAATAAAACCACTAACAACTTCATTGTAAAGTGTTGAACACGAAATGGTGTTATTACATTTATATATACTCTAAGGATAGATTTATATCAGATCAAGTAATTATAATAACGTAAACGATTAATTATTTTGATTAAAAAGTCACAAATCAAAGATATTAATCAGTAATTTGTTAAAACTTATTATAATTAGATAGATATACCCAAGCAACATGTCTTCGAATATCAGTTATTGAGTGGTGACGTTATTGCGAATAAAAATATTCAATTGATTAGATGCTCTCTTTGATATAAGATACGTGACATAAATCGTTTGCAAACAAATGTTGATAAGAGATACATATGTACTAGTATATGTGACTTCTATATGTTAGTTGAAAATATTTTGTTAACAAACAGATATTATCAAACACTATTTTTATTATTTTTTACTGATAATAACACATTTCATTTTAATTCTCAGAGTTGACAACACATCTATATGTCGCAGCCAACTAACTAGCTTAGTTAGCCTTTTAGTCAACAGCCTAGCATTTTTACTAAACGGCGCTGTTCAACTAAAAACTTTAAGAGGATACCTCGAAAATTAATCGTAGTTTTGGGGGCGTGGCTTATTCCTTTGTCGGTGAATCTCACGGACGACTGCGGGAGTGTCAAAATGAAAGTGATGCAATGACTTCTTATTACGCAAATTATGAGATAGCTATACCGAGCACACGCTTGGAAAAAAAACTAAGTAAGCGCCAAACAACATTTTTATTTTTTTTTTTGACAAAACTACGTTATGGATTAAAAAAATGGTTTATGAAAACTTAGATATGATTATTTACTATGCCTTAAAAATAATTCCATGAACTTACTCGTAAAGTTATTGTGGTGTTATGGAAAAATGTAACTAATTAGAGCCTACTTTGTAATTTTTTTCTATCGAGAAAATTTCATGATATCGTGTTTTCCTTTTATGCAATCCAAGGTCATATAGTCAAAAATCATATACCAAAATTTGGGTTTGTAATCTATAAAACTTTAAAAAATATGTAAAATAGAAAAACCACCAAATTTTCGAGGTATCACCTTAATTATAAACGTAACTAAGCCGTCGCGTTTAATGAAATTATTAAGGTGATCATGCTATGTATAGTCGCTAGTCTGTGCCTAATAATGCGCTACGTGCTGTATTACATAAGTATTCATGGCTAGCCGCACTATGACTTAGTATGGCTGATATTATCGGGCATACATAGCATTTCCGACCGGGAGACCGTATGGAAGGAGAAGGAGCTCCATGGTAAATACTACAGGGAGCCCTTCGTAGATACAGTCATATCCCTCAACTGGCTACGTTTTGGTGACCTCTTCGAGGAAACCAATGGTTTTGTCTGTGCAATACAGGATCAGGTTATTAAGACCAACAACTATCGGAGATACATCCTAAAGGATGGCACCGTCGACGTCTGTTGAGCTTGTCGCCATCTCGGTGAGTCGCTTAGGCATGTCATCTTCGACTGTTCGGCGCTTTCTAACTCTGAGTATTTGCACAGTTACAACCTAGAAGCCAGGATTCTACACTAGGAGTTCGCTCGGAAATATGGTCTCGCGGACGGGAAATTGCCGTATTACAAGTACTTGCCGGAAACCGTTCTCGAAAACGACCGCGCCAAGCTCTACTGGGACCGGGTCATCATTACAAACAGGACTATTCTTGCGAATAAGCCTGATATTGTGCCGATGGATCGGGCACAGTCAAGGATATTTTTGGTGGACATCACCATTCCATATGATGTAAACCTAGTGAAAACCGAATCAGATAAGAAACAAAATATCTGTACCTGGCTCACGAGGTGACCGACATGTGGGGTGGTCTGCCAACCTAAATTATTCCTGTAGTCGTCTCTGCAAATGGGCTCATCCCGGTCAGCCTCTCGGGTCATCTGAGGTGACAGGGCCTCCGTGACGGACCGCTCCGGGCTCAAATGCGGTGCTCCTCGATACCGCTCGCATCGTCCGCCGGTTTCTTTCCCTTTCCCCCTAACCGTTGGCCGTTTGGTCTCTCCTGTCGAGGGCTTCCATCTGGTTGGACTTTATTTATGTATCTTTTGTATTTATTTTATTTTATTGATATTTATGTATATTTATCATTTCATTTTTTTTTATAATTATGTATTTATAGAACCCAACCGGATGAGAAAACTGTATAGATACCCCAAAATAATAATCTTCGATACTATGCCGCCACTATGTTATAACAATAATAATTAAAGTACAAGTTTGATATGAGTCGTCTATGTAGACTTTTTTTTCACTAGCTTTTGATGGGAACAGTATTCCATGTGAGGCCAAACCTAGGCCTTGTAAAATTGCAGGCGTTGTGCCGGCATGAAATACTATCCTGTTCAACTGCGCACGCTTTTTAGGTACCAATTTGGCCTTCTCTTCCAAGTGACCACGAAACTACTGCACGTCACTCAATATGTCGACGCCAAGGATTCCGAAAATAGCTGACGCAACAAGGTGAGTGCCTTGAATCTGAGGAGATATGACAAAGGGGTTCTTTTTAGCGGTAAACGCGCAAACTTGTGTCTTCTGAAAGTTAAACTGGACTAGATTTAGTCGCCCCCAATCCGAGATTTTGTACAGCAAAGACTCGACTTCAGACACAAGTATGTCCCGGTACTCGATAACGTTTTCCCGAGAAATTTGGCACGGCCGGTGTACAGAGTATCACCAGTGCTGTCATCCGCATAGCAATGAATGTTACCGGTTTGCAACATATCATTAATTCTGTAACTCCCCCCCCCTTTTTTTTCGCTTAATAAATATATCATTATTTTTTTTTATAATTATTTTCCCTTTTTCAATATAATTATATATATGTGACCAGGATAAATGTTTTGATCTTTCTAAAGGTTTAATAATATGCCGTTTGTAATATTTTTGGCGTGATCGTCTTAGTTGGGACCCTTATTTACGTTGTGTTTGTTTATTAACTTAGTTCTTTTAGGTGTGTTTTGGAAGAATGAATATTCACTAGTACTAAGTGAACCCCGTTCACGAAGACAGGGCTCGAGAAAGGTTAAGAACATAAAATGTCCTATTCCACTTGTATCAGGTATACATTATTAATTTATTATTATTTGTCCCTTCCCGCTTGGAAAAGGTTCACAATATATTTATACAAAATACCCAATACAAGGGCTTCGCTCTCCTACATTTATTTACAAAAATGTAGGGGAGGCACGGCTCCACACACGCAGTGCGCGGTGAGCACCAACCATTTTGATGCACCCCTCCCCACGAAGGGAATACAAAATCGGGAACTGGACCGTAGTCCACATCAAAATAACTGACGAACCAGTAAAAGAGGCTTGGCCCCTTGTTAGTGCGTAAGCACAAACATCGACCGAAGTCGCGCATGTCAATGCGTGTAAACGCCATACAGAATACGAACGAATCCAGCCACAGTGAATGTACGTCACACGGTTTAGGCAAATAGGCACACTGGCCGTAAACCCTACGTGAGCGCCACTATCTGCCAGACCGCCGCTCCTGCAGACGTGATGTAAGTGTATGGCATCACCACCTATTGCATGATCAGCACGGCACTAACCGCAGAGCGTGTCATGAGTCTACTTAAGGGAAGGGGTCCCACGTTTTCTCCTCAGATCCTCCCTCCAGCTACCACCCGCATGAGGTCGACACATATGCTCCACCAATCAATACAACGACACATATAGCCAAAAGGCAGTTATAAGATGTTAGTAATAATTTTTTTATAGAATAGGATGACAAACGAGCACACAGTCCACCTGATGGTAAGTGGTTGCTGTGGCCCATAGACATCTACATCCTCGGTTACGAATCAAAATTCAGATGCGTTATCATTCATGAGGACTTAGGTGGAATGCCTCGTTTCCAGTAAAAAGGGTCTCCGGTTCTCTACACTCACCATACGAAACACAGCATAATTAAGCTACTATTTGACGCTGGTATTCTGTGAGAGCGTGGTCCTTCCCCGGTCGAGCCGACCCATTCGTGCTACAACTATACTACTAATATAACTGCAGCATGGCTCTACCACGTTCTAAAATGCCATGCCAATGCCAATCTAATTTGCTATCAGAAAGGGTTTGTGTCACTGACGTTGAGTAAATGCATTTTCGATCATGTTTGTCTCACCCACCAACAAGTTGCCTTCAATCATTCAAAGGTGGGAAAATTACAGAGATATATTATTATGTTGTTATATAAAACATCATGGATGTCATAAAGTCTGCAGCCCCGTAATGAATGACCCTACTTGGGCCAAGCTACTTAGGTGTGAGTCAAACCAAGACGCAGAGAGTGCCATTGAGAATAGCGTCCCACCAAACAACCATCGCAGAGATGCAATGCTGCAGAACGCAACAAGCATCAATACGACTATCGTCGGGCTTACATCATCCCAAGGTCCCCTATACAACTAAAAAAAATTCTTTTATACACGATCTCCTTATAAGATAGATAATTTTTTTACCAATTTTCCAATTATCTTATAAATGTTATCTATCTTAATGTTCATAATATTTTCGACTTGTATTACTATTATTTATCATGTTTTAAGTACCTTTACAAGTTTTTATAAAGTTTATTTATTTTGAAAGACAATATTTTGCCTATAATTTATTATATTATTTGCCTAATGTCTGAAATGTATTTATCTTAACTTTATGCTTATTAATGTAATTGATGAGCCATCACAATATGCAAAAGAAACATTGTTGGTGATAGCACGCAGCCTTGTGGAACGCCTGCATTAATAGGCTTGTAATTGGAGCATGAACCGTCCACAACGACCTTGATGCTCCGATCACTTTCCGAAAGAGGTGATCCAATGCACGATTTCTCGAGAAGCCCATAGGAAGGGAGCTTCGAAAGAAGCGCTTTGTGCCAAACCCGATCGAAGGCCTTCGCAATGTCCAAACTAACGGCCATTGCCTCCCCTTTGGACTCTACCGCCTCCACCCATTGATGAGTCAGGACCCCGACGA